GTCACCGCTCTCCCCCCCCCCCTGCCACTGAACCGTTGGTGAGGGTGCGCTCACTGCTTCGCTGTCACACAGAGCAGCAGCCCTTGCCAGGGGAGGCAGGTTTGCAGGCTGCGGGGTTCTGCTGAATCACGCTGAGATCACAGCAGCGCAGTCCCAGAGCCAGAAGCCACCAGCTTGCCTCCTGCCTTCCAGGGCAGGTCCACAGCCAGCACACAGCTCCCCAGCAGCCTGCTCAAACACAACCGTCCCCTCCTCTTCACTAGACTCTCCCATTAAAGGGGGGGCCCAATGAAGCGAGCTGACATTTCACAGTTCTGTTACAAAACTCAATTTCCACCAACCCCAACAGCAGAACTGGACAGGGGAAGCGACTGATCCTCAGGACAAGAGTTGATGAGCTCAGGCCCCACTCACGTCAGAATTAAGCCCACTCTGTCCTCCCGCTTCTGCTGGTACCCTGACGGCGTGCACACACCGGAGACACTGAGCACTTAAGCAGTGGATGGATGGAGAAGCAACTCTTCCTTCTCCACCAGAGACAAGGCTTTAATGCAGACCAGCACACTCCTGTCGGAGAGAAAAGCAGCTTGGCGAGCGCAGGCTGCAGTCCCATGTCTTCCACCCTGTCCCTCAACATTCTCTCTCCTAATAAGGGGATCTTTGTGCCACCCTCTCATTCCTTTATTTAGAAGGGACAATATAGCCCAGCACGCCCTGAAGCAACAAAACCCAGGTGTCTGAGGCCACAGACTTCCTTCTCAGCTTCCCCCAAAGCAGCGCATCACCTGCAAAACTGAACTCTGCCACCGTTACCACTTCTCACCCCACTGGATTAGACTTTCAGGCCCAGTTGCATCCAGAGAAAACCACCCCGTTTCATGCACTACCCCCTGAAGCAGTCTTTCACCACACGGATTTGCATCAGCTCTCTTCTCTTGAGGAACAGAGGATTTCAGGTCCTTCCTGCCCAAGGTTAAAAACCAGCCCTCAGAGAGCGTGGTGGATGCAGAGGGAGTCCCACACTGCGCATCTGCCAGGCCAGCTGGTGTGGGCCAACCATCCCACGCCCTGAACCTGGCAGGCTGACACCTGCAGCCTTTCTATTTTAAACACTCTAGTAATTTTTGGAATTTATCTGATTAACAAGTGAAGGTTTTCTTTGGGATAGAATGGGTTGTTTCATTTACCACTGACATTTAAAACACACTTGAGGGTAAGGTGAAGTGTAAGTCATCTTCAGATTTGCTAAGCTTTTGAATACAGAGACAAACTTGAGTTACACCTTCACGATTCCACCGGTTTAAAAAAATGACATTACAGGCTGCTAGTACAAACGGCCAAGCAAAAGCCAGGCCTAAACACGCAGACAGACAACCACGCAGCGCGCGAAACAGCCGCTGGGCCAGGCATCCAGCGACACGCGTGCAGCGAGCCAGAGAAGCCCATTTCTGCACAGATGAGTGTGGAAACTGCAAACCAGAGCAGCACATCCACGTTTGCCAAGAGGAGAAGCTTAAGATGACTGTAAGCAGCACTGGAGAAAAAACCGCCGAGAGGCAGGACTCGGAACACTGCTCCGAGCGAGCAGGATGCACCGCAGAGTCCAGCCGCGCCAGGCACAACGGCGTCAACAGTCGATACTTCAATTTGCTATCTGTTCATTGGTTTTGACTGAAGTGCTCTCCTAAAGCTGCAGTTTTAGTAAGGTATATTGACTCCAAATTTCCATTTCAAACAACAATTAGATTTCTGAAGGAAATCTTCCGTTTCAGCATTTTTCAAATTACCCTTCAAGTTTTCCCCCCCTTCCCTTCGGCACATTCTGTGAAAAAGCGGTGGGGGCTTACTCTTTGCTTTAGCTGACAAGAAGGGTTTTATACAAAGATGCCGCACACCCAGGTGTGCCAAGGGCCCTGCCCACGCCCGCACCACGAGGGGCAGCC